GGGGGGAGGGGGGGATGCTTTGAAGATGCAGTTCCACCCTGGAGCTGTGTGTTAGGAGCACAGGATGGAAAAACCAGTTGCTCTTGAATTTCCTTGTCCCCATAGTACTGCAGGTGGGAAATGTGGGTGCCAGTGAGTCACTAGGGCTATCTTAGTTCACCCATGGTACCAAACTGGGGTAGGTTTCAGGTTTATTTTCTCTTTACAGTCTTCCTAAGGAAGTTTATATGCTGAATGTGGAAAACTAATTGTTTTTCCTCCCCCTGCCCCTGAAGGACAAGCTTGCTGCAGGAAATAGACATTCAAGAACAAAACCAAACATACATCTTAAAAGGAATGTAGATTTAGACTGGATATTAGGAAGAAGTTCTTCCCTGTGAGGGTGGCGAGGCACTGGCACAGGTTGCCCAGAGAAACTGTGGCTGCTCCATCCCTGAAAGTGTTCAGGGACAGGATGGACAGGACTTGGAGCAACCTGGTCTAGTGGAAGGTGTCCCTGCCCATGGCAGGGGGGTGGAATGAGTTGAGCTTTAAGGTCCCTTCCATCCCACACCACTCTGTGATTCTATGAAAACCCATCAGGGATGGTCCCTGCAGAGTGCTGGCTGTGATGCACAGGTCAGATCTGGGCTCCCTTCCTTGGGCAGGACCTCCCAAGCCAAGGGGGAGAGGAGCATGTCACAGATCCCTGCCCTAAATCCCTGTTCCCTCTGAGTGTGCACTAAAGCTCATTGAAGAGTCCTGAAGCTCCATATGCTGCAGTGATGGGAGAACAGCAAGGGAGTGGGTGCTCTGCTGGACCCACTATGTGACTCCATGGGCAAAGCACCAAAAGAAGCTGGAGATTTCCAGTGTGGGGAGGTTGGAAGCAGTTGGATTGCCAGCTATTAGTGACTATCATGGGTATATCAGGTTGTAAGAGGCTCAGAGATTGAATTGCAAGGGTCTATAGTTCATGTTATGTTATCTCTGCTCACAAATCTGCTGTTGGGGTTTGTTGAACTCCTTTATATTGTCTCTGTGGCTCCTTGAGGTCCTGTTCCTGGGAGCATCCTGCATACCAAGGAATTCAGCCAGTCCATTGCCCAGACAGCAGCAGCATGTTTCACACATGTTTTTCCTGGGGAGATCTCAGGGAAAGCTGCCAGAGGCTGGCAGCAACTTCTGAGTGAGTGGCCGTGCTGACAGTATCACTCCACGCCAGCTCTCCAGCATGGGCCGGGCTGGAGGCAGCTCCATGGGGCTGGGATTAAAGGGGAAGCAAGGCAGAGCCAGCCAGGCTGCTGACAGGGCCTGCCTGCTGCAGGGCTCTTCATCTTCTCATGGTAAAATGGAGCTGAGCCTTACAAACCCAGAGCTGACTTTTAGCTCTTGTGGGAAAATGTGGTCTGAGGGAGTTCTGAAGCAATGTCTCCATGGGGCATTGGGTGTGGGGGTGGCACAGCCACATGGCTTAAGAATGCCTCTCTGACTCTCTTCCCAGTGGTGACATAAACGAAGACACTCTGGAGACTGAAAATGCAGCTGCTGCTGCTGCTGCCGCTTTCACAGCCTCCACACACCTGAAGGAAGCTGTCCTAGGTAGGTCAGCTCCTGCTGTAGCCCCATCGTTGAGCTCTGCCAGCTCCACCACCCCAGTGTGCCACAACCCTGTGTTGATGTTGGGTGAGAAAGTTCAAGCACTGTTGTGCAAAACTGCTGGGGTACCAGGGATACTCTCCTAGCATCCAGGGGAGCCCAGTGGATGGCAGGGGGTGGGTGAGGGATGGAGCTGGCAGCAGCTGGCTGGGCTGCTGCTGCCCTCTCCTGGTGCAGGATGTGTCCCTGTGCCCAGCCATTCCTGGCTCGTGCCCTTCCACCTTGCCACAGGGATGTCAGTTTTGCAGCAAACTCACTGGCTTTGATTACAAGTAAAAGTGCATTTAGGGAGCAAAGACTGTGACCAGCTGGGCTGGAGCTGACTTAAAAGCAGTTTTACTCTAAAACCAAGGGTGACTCTACCTGAATAACATCATTCCTTTCCTTTTTATCAAGAACAACCACTGACTTCTCAAATTCCCTGTGCTCAGCTGCAGCCAGATCAACATAAATCTGCCTGGGCTGTTTGGCCTGAGAAATTTGGGTGGTTGGATGCTTTAGCAGCAAAGTGGAAGTGAGTGGTGGTCACAAACCCCAGCACAGCCCACCATGCATCATCTGTTTTCAGTTTTTATTCCTGAGTTTCAAAACTGCTTATCACTGCACGTGTGCCTTGGGGAGGTGAGCTGAGGGCTGTGGCTCATGTTTCTTTTTGATCTGTCCCTTCCGCTGATCCCTGTGAGAAGTGAAGATGGCTGAAGATGAGGACAGTTTGGAGGCAGAGATTGTCTACCCTATCACCTGTGGGGACAGCAAAGCCAACCTCATCTGGAGGAAGTTTGTGTGCCCTGGGATCAATGTGAAGTGTGTGCAGGTGAGACCAGAGGGCCCAGCGCTGGACTCATGCCTGCATTGCAGGCTCACCTGGCTTGTCCTGGTTGTGATGAGCTTTGGTAAGCTGCTTTGCATCAGAACCACATCATGGTGGGGAAGGAGGAAATTTTCCTGGTGCTGTGGTACCTGATAATTTGCCTTGGCTAAGTTGAGCAGCTCTGGCTGGAGAGACATTCCCTCAACCAAATGTGTTATTGGAGAGTTTGAGAACTTTTGGACACTTCCAGTGTCTATTCACTTTGAAAGTTGATAGTTTGAGAAGTGGGGACCTACTGAAGAGCTTCTACTGTGTCCTGAGTAACTCATGGTTAAAATTTGCATGGATTTGGGAGCATACCATGAGTGAGCCATTGCTGGCATTTGTACACAGCCCAAATAATAGCCTGCTGAGGGAGGGTCTCCCTGGGCTGTGCTGCAAGAGGGCTTCCAAAGGCTGGTTCTTGCCCTTCCTAGAAGAGATGGCCTTCTCCATCTCCAAAGCAAAGGACAGGTACTGCTGCAGGTAATGCTGCTGCTACCCGAGATCAGTCCTCTGTGCTGAAGCCCATGCTGTTGTTCAGAGAGAGCAGTTTCTCATGCCATCATGGTGAGTTGCTCTGTGTTGGTCAACATGGGCACGGAAAACAGGATTTGGGAAGTCCTTTAGGATGTGCCCTTTAGAGGACTGCCTGGTTCACAGTTTGACTGGAAGGTTTTGGACATCTTTTCCAGCCTTGATAGTTCTGTAACTCTGTTATTCTGCAGGTTGCTATTAGGTCAGCACGTGTGTTCAGG